AGATAATGGTTTTTACATGACCAAAAATATATTCATGTAAATCAGTTTTTCATGTAAATGTGCTATTTGGTTACAATTGTTATATAATTATATTTATACATGTAAAGAAAAAACTTTTGTTGAGGGCTCCCTAGTTGGATTGGGGCCCTAAGCAGCTGCCTAATTTGCTAAGGCCTTGAGTCAGCCCTGTTAAGACCCTAAAATAAAGTCAGAATTCCATTGGAGATCAGAGCCAATTTGTCTTAATATGACCAGACCAGAGTCCAGACTCCTGTAGGTGTCTAGTGGAGACATGCAATGCCAAGAGCTTCTCAAAAATGCAGCCTTATGGAACTTGGATAGAAATTTATTCAGATTTAACTTTCAGATTTTAAAATCTAAAAAGAATTGAAAATTTAAGCAATGTTTTCTAATTCAGTTATACTCTCTTTGTTTTGGTATTTCAAATAACAGTACATTAAAATACACAAATCTAACTTTGACAAAATGTGGGGGAAAAATGAGATGTATTAAAACATTTACAAAGAACTAAATCTTAAACATTTTACACTCTCTCAATTAACTACATTTACTTTAATGATGAAGACGTGGGGATAAAGATCATCATAATGATCAGCAATTCCACAATTTTTCAATATACTTGAGTTTTAAGCTCTTTCCTCTCAAAGTTCCTGTAGCAACTATCTGTGCTGAGGAACAAGGCTGTCATCTGTCCTGTTGAATATAGAATGGTCTCACATTTGAGTCACTGTATGCGAAACCAAACCAAGAAACTTGATTTATTCATGGCAGAGATTTTGACACCAGTGAACACAGAGCAGATCAAATTAATGGGTAGATTATACTGTTTTATATTATATACTTTACACCTATTTTCAGAGTGTATTGCCAGCCTATATCTGTCCTGACAGCTGACAGATGGAAAAGCTTCATATCGACAAATGTTTGCCCATCTTCAAGGAACAAAGTCTGTGTCAGCATGATGAAAGCTGTAGGGATGGCAGCTAGATGAGGGGCTGCTTAGGGAATGCATGTCAGTCTTCGGGGCAACTGATGAAATAAATCCCTTCTGCACTTGTTCTTTTTGAAAGTTATTTTAAAACATTTATAAGACCCGAGCTTTTCGGAATCTTGGTGCATAAAGTTGCTTTGCATGCTGGTAAAGACTAAATGTTTTATCCTTACTTCTCCTATTGCCTTAGCAATGCATGTGCTGCTAATATGCAGCAGAAACCAGAGACGGCTTGATTCCTGTTGTCAAATTTTAAGAAATACTGCTTCCTATGAGCCATTAATGTATTAAAGAAACATCATAAAGAATAAAACTCATAATGAGCACACTTAAAAAACGAGTTCCTGTGAGGTTGAGGAAAAGGGAAACTTGTTTACAGCTCTGTCTTTATCTAAATTGTCTTTCCTGTTAATGAAGGTTTGATAGGGGTGAAAATAATTAAATAGGACAGAGCTGGATGATTCCACCTTATTTATTAAATTAACCCACAGTTGCCATTGCAGTGGGGGAAAATATTTTAAGAGATTCAGAGATTTCTCCCTTTCCTTATGCTTTTAAGGGTTAACAATTCCTTTTAAAGTTGGAAAAAGGAAAAATAACTAATTTTCTGCTAATATCCTCAATATTCCTCAAATAAACACTTTCCTCTGTTTCTTAGGAGTCTGGCTAACAGTTTAAGTTTCTTTTTATGTTTTTTTCATAATTATCTATTGTTTCTCAAACTACTTCTTCTCCTTAAAACTATCTTTAACTAGCTTTTAATTTATAAATAACTTTATAATTATTTTGGTCTGTAAAACCTCATCTTCCTCCTCATTATTCTTATTTTTCTTCAATGGGATTTTATGTAATGTGTCTGATCAAGAAGAGCTGTAATATTTTAAGCTCCTTATTTAAGTCTTTTAGGCGCATGCTGATATGAATCTTGTTATAATCTAATTATGTTTGTATACTTGAAATAATTGTGAATTCTGTTTTGTCAAAAATGAAACTGTCCCTTGTTGTGGATTTTCCTTTCGCTTGTCAGTACAGTGAATCATCTTTCTCCATCTAACCCCATCTTCTTGTCTACCTCTTGTCTCTGCCTCAGTGCATCTTTCTCAAAGCAACATTGCTGGTCTCACCATCCTCTTGTGTGAACTCATTTCCTTTATTCTCACTGATACTTTTTTAATCACACAACAGACCTGATATATTTCTTCACCCGTCTGGGGCCTGCTTTGACACGTCTTTTCACCTCTTCTTGAACTCACCATGACTCTGCACTGATGACCCTACACACTTAAAACCCTCCACTTTCTTTATCTCCGCCCCATGTAACTTCACAGTCCTACTTGGCTCACTCCCATCTCTGCAATCATGGAGCTTCCTTTTTACTTTCATCTGTCAACTTGTCCTTCACTGTAGTAAAGAAGAAGGAGCTCAGAGCTGATCCTTGATGTAGACCCTCTTCCAACTTGACCTCTGTCACTGTCTTTCAGCCCTGGGGTCTCCTTTATAAAGTATTGCGCAGGATCCATACTAAAAGTGTATGAACACCAAACATTCTTAGATGGCGTACTGCTCCAAGGAAAACTGCTTTATAAAAAGTTGCTTATGGACAAAACCAAACAGTTTTGCTTTATAAATCACATCTGTACTTGAAAAGTTTGAGTCCAAGGCTCCACCTCATGATTGGCTCTCTTCACTCCCACATTCAACCATAAATGGCCCATGCAAAGCACTGCATGAATGTCATTGTGTATATACAAGAGCCAGCTCATCAGTGTTATTTAATAGTAACCAATGACAACCACAGTAGGAAACAGAGTGAGAAAGCGCAGTTTAACCAAGGCAGAAATAGATGTGCTGTTAGTGATGTGACGAGGTGTATGAATATTAGTAGCCAAAGTAGTGGACTGATAAATAAAAAAATGATTTTACGAATGTGATGATGAGAAAACCTTTCAATATTTTCTCCCTTTGGTTTAGAATTAAAGCATGTTTATAAACCTTTTTTATTTGTGTGATAGGTCCTCATGTATAATTACAGCTCTCCAATGGAATCATATATCACAATGCCATTTGACTTCAAATGAAGTTGAACTGCTGAATGAAACACATTTCCTAAGAGAATAATGATGGAATCTGGCTTCTATTTAATACCTCACTAACTTTGATATACTTTCTATGGCATCAGGATTCTGCCAAAAGTCCATACAAGCAATAAGTACTCCTACATGCACATTTACATCATACAGACGCTCATAAACTAATCGCACATGTTTAACATGTTACATGGGCAAATAAAGTGCCACAGGGCCCCAATATATCACACATGTGGGCCTTATCCTTCTCTGCTTGCATTTGGTTTGATTTCTGCGAACATGCAGCCTCTCTCCTCCTTGTGTGTGGACCTGCTTCTATGCTTTCATGTCAACTTTTGTCACTTTGAAGGCGTTACACACTGGACAAGGCAACCTGCTTGTGATTGGCTACTTTTCACGAATTCCCGCTTCTAGATGCTGTACTTTTCTTCCTACCATCAAAGCAACTTCAGTCTTACCGCTTCTCTTTAAGAGTTGGAAGTTGCTAAGCAAAGTAATTTTAGATATAACATGGTCTGGGTTCCTGTAAATGGGTTATCATGGTGACGCTCCAAGGCAGCGGCCAAGAACAGCTCCTCTTGACAATTTCACAAAATATGCTGCTTAAAAACGACACAAACTAGACATCAAACCCGCATCTATGATCACCAACACCTGCTGGAGCTACGGTCACGAAATGTTTAAAATACTGACATATTTGACCGTTTAAAAAGCTGCTGAGTGCTATGGACAGATGTCAGCAAACAACAGCGGAAAAATAACGGGCGGAGGAAGAGACGCACGAGACTGAGAAAGCAAGGCTGCAGAGGTGGGCTTCTGCAAAGCTAAAGAGAGATCCCCACAGACCACCGCTTCCCTCAATCCTGCTCTTCAACGTCTGCTCTTCGGAAAACAAAATGGATAATCTTCGACTGGAACTCTCTTTCAAAAAGGAGATATGTAACTGCTGCGCCATCATTCTGACGGGTTTTGGCTGCGTCCAGCAGTACCGGACAGTGCTGTTGGCCTGGTGCAGATAGTAACAAAGAACTCTGCATGAATGGAGGCTCCACTGAGACTGTTCCCAGGCAATCTTCGTCATCTAGAGGGGAAGCACAGTCCTCTGCAGGTGAAAATGAGTAGAGCACACTAGATGCTTCCCTGCCAAATGCTGAAACATCCCCAGCCGGCTCCTCCCGGCCCCCTCCGGCTTCCACACCTTCTCTAGCATCGTCTGTCGCTGCTAAACCTGCCGATAGAACCACTGATGCCTCAACCACGTCAGCTTCTTCAACCCAGGGGACTACCCCCCTTACAGCATCGTCATCATCGTCCTCTTCCTCCCCTGAGCCTGGAGAAGCGAGAGCTTTAGGAGCTGGAGGCAGTAGTAGCAGTTCAACAACAACTGCTGCTTATCTTATCAAGGCTGCACTTTAAAAATATGAAATAGTCTAGAGAGCTATTCTAAACGAAATTTCTTTTTGTTTATACTTGCGTATGCAAAATGACAAAATAAATATGTCTAAGTCTGGATGAATACTGAATTCTGACTGGCTGTAGGGTGTTAAAAAGGATTATAGAACAGCTACAAAAAAAGTTCAAGTCAAATAGCCTGATAGTTTCTGATAGCTTGAAATTTATGGATCACTTGACTTAAGCAATTTTTAGGCCCCATTTTGTGCATGCACAAGCTTTATAAATGAGACCGTTCAACATGTTGTAAAAATACCATTTGCAGTTCGTTTAACGCTATTGCTGACATATTTCTAGCTTCGTGTTGTGCTAGCACACTTGTTGCAGATGTCAAATACTTTTTTTTTTATGCCCAACCACTAGATTCAAAACACTGTCACAAATTGTTTCTCAACACACTCTGTGTTTCTAATATGTGTTCATTAATGTCTTAAAATCTTTTTCAATAGGTTACAACTCCACTCTGCCGCTATGCTGTTGGCTGTATTCTGAGTGAGGGAGGAAACAAAGTTGATGAAGAAGTGCTAAAACGCTGCAAGGCATCAGGATTTAATGTGGTCTCCTTCCCTCAAGTCAGCCACGTGATCTCTACCTCATTCCCTCACAGAGCCCTTTTTTCTGCATTCTTCAGAGTGAGAAGAGTCTATCCACAGCTTGAGCTCTACATCAAGGTATGAAGAGATTTGGGATCTTTGCTACACACCTCCATTAAGTAATTTTCATCATATAATAAGATCTTATATGAACGGCAATGTTGTTCAAATGATAAACGAAATTTTATTTGTCAGTTTAATTTTAAGGAAATAAGATATAACATTAAAGGTGTAGAGTGATTTAAAAAGTACCACTTTTTTGAATTTCCGGAAAATAATCTATTAGTTTAAACATCTGAAGTAATTTGTTTTTAAACACCAAATTAAAACACACAACAGGCATTCAGAAAAACTAACATTTAATAGAAAATAGCTACAAATAGTTAAACCTTTAAAACCATCAGCAGTTGAATCAGAAAGCTTTTTAAATAAAAACACCAATACGAATATCTATTCTACCTAGTTCACCCAAGCAGAGCACTTATTAAGCATCAGATGGAAAGGAGGGAGTGGGATGAGGTTATTGTTTTGGTTCGGTGGAGTGAAGGCCCTTGGCTCGGTTTGGTTTTCCGCAGGCTTCAGTCCAGTTTGTTCATTCAACAGCAGCTCTATCTGGATTAATCTGAGGCAATAATAAGAGGCGATCTGCAAGGGGGTTAATTTTTTAACTCACGGTAACATGGGGCGTCTCCCGTTTTAGCTACGGTGGTTAGCTTGTAGCCACAGCCTCCAACACCAACTTCTCTGTGCTTCTCCATCTCTCTGTCGTAGGCAGTCACGGTCCTCTTGAGTATTTGCAAATAAAAACAGCCACACACCATGATGTTTCCACCTCCAAACCTTAGTTTGGTGTTTTAGGTTTGATGGGCAGTGCCTTTTAACCTCCAAACATAGTGTGTGTTATGACATCCAAATTCCTAAATTCTACTATGTCTTTCAGTATTCTACAGGCTTGTCCAGATATTGTGGAGCAAACTTTTGACAAGCTTCAACTGGCTTTTTTCTTTCAAAATTGAGTCTTTTAAACAGTGGAGGACATGGCCGTTGAATGCATTGCTTTATTGTTTGCCTTGACATAATTGTATTTGGCAATTCCAGGTCTTTTAAAATCTCTCCTCAAATGGTCTTTGGCTCTTGGGCAACTCTTCTGATAATTATTTTCATTCCTCTGTGAGAAGGACCTGATCGGGGCCCTATCATTGCTAACTGGAACGTTAAGAAGTTTTAGAAAACCTTCTGTAATTCCACCAGAATATTTTGCAGCTATAAGGTCTTGAGAGAGTTCTTTGCTTTTACACTTCATAAGGTGTTCCTTGTGTGACACCTTGGTAATGGCACACCATTTTATGGTTTATCAGTTTGAACTGCATAAGCTGATATTCATTTGCCTTTGAGGGGACAGGAAGGTTTTTCTGATTTCTGCTTATTTTCAATATTTTTTTGCCTGCTTTATATCACATTATAAAACATAGTTTTGTTTCTGAGCTTATCTGTTTTGGTTAATAAAACTATTTAATATCAATAGCACCTTTGTAAATTTAGTTCCTATGAAAAACAGTGAGGTGTTCAATTGTTATTTTAACTCCTGTATAAAAAGTAGAGGTGCACCAATTAATTTTTTCCCAATTCAGTACCGATACCTGAGTTAAGCGTATCGGCCGATACCCAGTACTGATCCAATTCAACTGTTGAATGAAATGACCATATATTTTACCATGTGAGTGGAAGCTTTAGCCTTGACATAAACATTGATAAAAAAGATTACAATTTAACACAGATATAAATGTACTCTAAAGTATTTAACAAATAAGCTGCAAAAATAAAGAAATAACAGTTTCATGTAAAATGCGATGTACTGATTCTAAGATATCTGATATCAAATCGCAGATATTCGATCCAGCTTATTAGTCAATGTCATAGCCGATATCTGATCCAGGTGACGGATCAGTGCATCTCTAATAAAAAGGTAATTCGAATTTTACTCTTGAAAAAGTTTAGTGTCTGGGTAGTTTTCTAATTTCACTTTTTAAAGAAATCCTGTGCTAATTATTAAAATAAACAAACTTGATGTTGTTCCTTCTTTGTGGTTATGTATATGAGGGAAGAAAAAGAAAGGAAATGTTTGATGTATTCAATCATTGCTAACTCTCAGCAAGCATTGCTTCTACTGATGCAAGTAAGTGATAAATATTAGCATCCTGATCTCCTCAAGTATGACTAAATCTTTCTGAAATTGTTCACTGTGGGAAGAAAAAGTATTTCTTTATAGGCTTTGCTCATTAATGATTTTTATTATTCATCCTGTGTTTGCCAGGTCCTGTGGAGGTTTGGAGGATTGTGTTAGGAAGACATTTATAGCACATAGAGAGATAGAGATGTGAAGAAAGAAAGAAAAAATGAAAGAAAAAAAAAACTGTAGGAGTGTTTTATAAATGATGTATCCGAGTCCTACCAAAGGGACGTTAAGAAAGTGAGTCACCGTGATGAGCAAAGGGGCTTGGTGAATATGGTGAAACAGTGAAATGTGCTAAAACAGGTGGCATCGCCGTAGGCTCTCTCAATTGCTGTACGACTGCTGAAGGGAGGAAAATGTTTGTGTGACCCGTCTGTGGCTGGTTCTGCCATCTGGTCGGAAGCTGTTTAGACCTAGCTTTTCTCCAGTGGCACTTACTCTGTATGAAAGGTCAGCTTATATACTATTCGTACTTGTGGAGCCCAATATAATTGAAGCTCTATCACATTTATTAATTTTTTAAGTATTAGAACAACTCTTGATATTTTCATATTTATTATTTTCCTTGATGTCCTTTATTGTACATTACATTACTCGTAATATTTTCTTTGTCCTTCTTTGAGTCTTCACAAATTTAATTACTTCTTTATTCATACATTTTTTTTGAAACTTTTATTTGTATATTTTGAACAGATTTAATATCTGTGGTTTATAATAACATCAGGTTTCATGAAAACTCTTGCAGAATCAGGAATCTTCTGATAGACAGACTTTTGAATTGCATTATGAATTCACTGTAGACTTTTAATGAGCCTAAGCATAAAAAGTAGTTTGAACATGGTTTACCTGTTTTCTGCAAAAGTCTAGTTAAACATTTTTTAAAATTTGTGTGAGTACACCGTCCGTCCATGCATGTGTGCGTACGTTGTGCTCGCTCTCAATTGTAGATTTTTGCTCTTTCTTACCAGTAAAAACAATAAATTAATTAATACCAGCTCAGTTTGTGGAAACTGTCCTTTTGTAATGTTACTATTTTCCAGTCAATTAAGAAAGTAATAATGGAAGAACACCAAAAGTGAAACACAGAGGTTTCTCTTTTTACCTGCACCAGTGTACGGCAGCCTCATGTCTGTCAGTAAGCCCCACAGCAGCTGTGGCTACAATGTAGTTTGCCACCTTCAGTGTGTGAGTGAATGGTTGAATGGCTGAATGTAGTGTAAAGCGTTTTAGTCAAGTCTTCAAACTTGAAAAAGCACTATATAAGGACAGGCCATTTACCATTTTAAATCATTTTTATCTAAATGTAGTGAAAGGTATATCCTATATGAAATATAAATTTTTTTAAATATTTGTTTCTAATCATACTGCAATATGTTCTCTTTGTGTTTGAAAACAAAATAGAGAAACACTATCTTTTTATTTTGAGGTAAGCCGTGCAACAGATCCCATGTTTTTTTTTGTTTTGCAACCACATTAAAAATGATTTTCAGCCTATTTAATTAAAAGTTATCTAGAAATTAGAAAATGTTCATGTTAAAATTTCTGGTGCTCAGCTACAGTTAAAGCTCTAACCTCTTCTAAGTCCCTTTGATGGTAAAGTAGTATTTATTAAGTATTTATGAGACAACTGAGAGGTCTGTCATATCTTCCTACTGGTTTTGGTCAAAAAACCACACTTGAAAGTTTCTGTGCCACTGACAGCGTTGGCAGTCTCAGAGCTCTGTTCTCTTTCTTGGTTTAAGGTGAACCCAATATAAAGCCACTGGCTTAGTTAGCTACATGCATTAGCTGATTATAGAAATTTTTTTTTTTTAGCTTTATGAAATGTTGGAGCATGCAAAAAAGGCAAAAAAGCTTTTTCACAAGAAAGGAAGAGAAAACAAGAGCTTGAAAAGGGTCAGTAGTCTGTGACGACACCTTGTCTACTAAGCTATGTTAGAGTTACTATTGGGGCTTTAGAGTGATTGATTCTCAGCATGTCACTTTAAAACGTATAAAAGATATGTAATACAACCCACCCCTCCAGACATTAGGGAGTGCCGCTTAAAGAACACTTTGTGCTGCCCTATCATTTTAATATTTAATATTAATGAATATAAATATTGATGATTATTTTTATATTTGTATTACCATAAAATCCAGAAAGTTAATTTGTCTTTTTTTTTGTTTTTTTTTGGTTTTGTTTTTTGTTTTATATGGGTTTTTTGTTCAAACAAGGAAATTCCAAAATTGTGTGCTCTCCACAAATAGTAATTTTTGCTCCCTCTCCCTAATAAATGCCATCCATGGTAGGGTCCTAACATTAACATGCCTTGCTTTCATCATGCTTGTCTCTATTCTTCTAAAAAAAGACCGATTCCAACAATAACAAACCAAATTGCAGGCAGGAAGGAAGTGGTGCTGCTTGTGTAACTTTTTGCCTATTCTTTAAGGCAACTGTGAAACCGGATAAACGGACTGTGGCAAACTGCCAATGTTACTAATGCTACATTGGCATGAATGCCTATACATAGAAGTCAAATTCTTTTGCTTCCCTGGCGAGAAAGAAGATGGTATGAAAAGGGGTCTGAATGAGCTTTATTCAATTTTGTCTCCTGAAATTGATTAGGTATGAATTTAAAGAAACATGGTCATGTTATATGCTTATAAATCAGACCCCAAAACCTGTTTGATCGAGACAAGATTAGGTTATTTACACCAAACGTCTACCCTTATAGTGTTTTGATACTCCTCTATGAACCTTGAAAGAATTCCAGCACTTTGGGAGGTGAGCAGACATAAACATGTTTGTGCGGCAGTATCGTGCACAAACTGACGGTGGCATCGCTTCACTATTAGAGAACCA